AGTGCTCATAACAGAATACAATAAGACTAATAATCTCGAACGGCCGTAATCATCACCTCTACCTAACTACATTTCCTACTCCCACTACGACAATACCATCCCTCCCAACACGGGCCCTTAAACCTATTGATTACACTGACCATCCTCCATTCCTAGTAATCATAAACCCCCCACATACAAGCAATCTCAAAACCACGATCCATAAATCAATTGAATCAACTCCCTCTGATAAAAGATTCACCGCACCACCCGCTCCCAAACCCCCTCAACATCCTCATGAGGACTTATATTATCCACGATCCCCAAAGCCGTAGTCGGCTTCTTATACCCCAACAACTCCAACATCTTCGGACTCATCTTGGTAACCACACTCCTGGGAATAGCCAGGAACTGATTCTCCTCCGTGCGCAAATGTCCCCTACAAAAGAACAAGCCATACATATTCCTCACCGTTCCAGGAAGCGAGTTATGTCCTCCTCCATGATACGCCGAGGCAAGGAATATCAGCGCGGAGCCGGCTTTCATCTCTACCCAACACCACCGACATCAGAACAATACTACTACTAGTTAAGGGGTAGTAAGTAGGGCAAGGTAACGTACCAGCAAAACACACCTCCCCCTTATCATGGTCAAACTCCGCCCACCTCTCATCCCCCCACCGATGACTCCCCTTCACAAACATCGTCGCTCCCATCTCCCGACTAACATCACAGCCCGCAATCAGACACCCAAACTGACTCACCTGGTCCCACCCCCACTCCCACTCGCGATACTCATGTCGCACATGATGCACGTTATCGTCCCGGTGGAGGAGCTGTCGAGGCGCCCCGTACCCGATGTTCATTGCCACGCTGAGGCTGAGCAACGGGTCGAGACGGTTCGGCTCCACGCTGTCTTCGCGGTTGATGCACCATTCGTCCACGAGGATGCGCGTGCGTAGGGCTTCCAGGGTGGGATGCTCCGCCGTGATTCGGGCTATGGTGGGGGATTTGCCTACCAGGCCGGGAATGAGGGTCGTTTGGGAGGGGATGGTGGTGAAGGCGCCGTTGGTTGTGGAGGTGGAGGTGGGTTTCTTGGTGCTGGTGCTGGCGCTGGTCCATGGGGTGAGTTCGGTGTCGATGGCGGTGAGGTCTTCTCTTGGGATGAAGTCGGAGATGATCACGCCGCCGTCGCGGGAGAGGATGGCCAGGATGTATTCGATTGGGGTGGTGGAGGGGATCGTGCGGAGATGGGATTTGGGGGTGTAGGTTGCTGGGATGGGGGGTGGGATGGGGAGGGGGAGGCGGGACATTTTGCTTTGTTATTGTTGCTGGTTCTTGTTCTTGATATGTAGATGGTTTAGTTTGTCTGGTGTAATGATGCTGGTAGGTAGTCTCCGTATCCATGAACCATGCCTTGAGGGGCGTGATATAATTCCCCTCTCGGGTCGGGTCGGCTGCGTTGCGGAGATCGGGTGGCATATCCGATGATAGGGCTGACATGTGTGTGAATGATAGATGTTCTGGCTGGGTCTACTGCATTGGTCTGGAGATATCATATGATGGACTGTTGGATTAGTACAGTGATGGTGTTGTCTGTTTCCGTACTGCCGCTTCGGGTGTAGCTCGAAAATATGACTATTATCAGTCAAGAGTTATGTATTGAGTGTAGTATAGTTGCTATCTAGAGTGTATATTCAGTTGCAGTGCAGATGTTCTGCTACTACTCTCGATAAAATTAAACAACACCCTATATGCAAGTGTAAGCTCCACCACCTCGAAGCTCCATATACACGATTTTATATACGTTGGTTAATACCATACGTCACAAATCATCCCTCTCCTGGGCTAGCCAGAAAGACGGGCTCGCATTGTAATCAATCTGATCCACTATGGCCGCAATATCATAAGACGTCAATCCCAGCTCAGGCAACTCATCCTCGGAGACATTAATATCCCCAGTAATGAACGGTATCTGGGTGTCGTCACTTGGCCTATGATCCTGCCCATGTGCGTCACCGCTCGTCTCTGGAACTAAGGCGGTACTGATGTGATTCGCCGCATTCGCATACCGCTCTTTTAGTCCCTCGAACAAGGTCTCGAGACGAGTCAGATCAGCTTTGCGAATCTCGGCTACGCGGTTCCCCTTGCTGATGATTTCATCGAGAATCAGATGCGCTTGTTGGTTGGAGCTTCGCTGTCCCACTAATCCTGGTACAAGGGCGCTGGCCATGGTGAGGTGGATAGCAGCGCCGTACGTAAACTCGAGGTCGAAGGGGAGGAATGATTCTGCGGTGCGATTAGTAGCTGATAATCGTTCTTTCTGGATATTGCCCACCGAGAAGCCCCTCGTCCACTAGAGCTTTAAGTAACTGTAGACTTTTGGTCGCTGAGTTGATCCCTGTTGACATCAGTGTTTCCATGAGAGGGACAATCCGGCGGCAGCATTCTAAAGGGAGGCCAAGTTTATCCAGACGCTCCCGTAGAACGGCTAGAAGGAGGGGCCGTGTGGCAACGATGACACACTAGTAGTATAAGTTAGTTCGAATTTTTGGTTTGCTCAAAGGCAGACATACCTCGTGATATAGCAGGAGGATATGGCGCATCCCTTTCGACATGGAGTTGACCGGGCCTGAGAATTTGGTATTGATAAAGTCTTCCAATTCCCGAGCTAGATCCGCCATAGTGTTTAAAATAGTCTTCGTTTTCTCAATGAATGATTCGATGGGCCGTCTCTCAGTCTTGTAAACGGCTATCGTCCATGAGTCGATGTCCTCTCGTAATGGTGATTATAAAACCTACTGCCAAGTATTGTGGACAATAACCGCGATAGCTTCACTCTCAGACTTAGCATAGCGTTCCTCTGACACGACTGTGTTGGGGAATCAATTAATGCTGTGACATCGCTATCATGCACAATCATCGGAATGCCCAGTGATGACGAAAAATGGCGGTCCATAATGTACAGTGTCCACCACAGATTACGGCAGCGATCAACAGCTGCTGCCCCCAGCTCTTGCTCTGGAAGCTCCGTATGTAGACCTTCAAGTTGCGCAATCCGGATGGCCTGGCTAGCCTGTACTATGTTAGATTTTCAACCCGCGCAATTCTAAAAGCAAGCCAGGTTCTTACAAAAAGGTGTCCTGACTCTCGCCGATCAATCGAGTAGAGATATAAAGCTGCTAGTGCCATGACCTCGATGGCCAGAAGGGTATTCCTCCATATAGAACTGTAATCTGGCATCAAAGACATGGCACGAACAAAGTATGCTGCACCTGGCGGGTCTCTCTTCTTAGACTGGTCAAGAAACGCTTTTCCAAAGGACAACACTAGCAAAAACTGGATGAACCACAGCCGACTATCAGTTGCTTTCTTGATTGCATCGCCGTAGTAGAACTCTTGCATATGCGTTGTGAAGGTCTCCTCGTCCAAGAGCCGGAACGTCTGGCCCAGATGGAACTTGACTGTGTTGAAGAGATAAAGAGCGTAGTCCATAGACGGGAGACCGCTGATGTCAGGAGCAGCATCAGAAGATGACTTCCACTGTAGAGGATAGATATCTCCATCAAGATAGTAGGGAATATCGTAGGCCACGTCCGGATGCAGCCTTTGAGACATCATCAAAGTGAGACGAGCGGTAAAAGACCAAGTGGATGTTGGAGCCAGCCAGACTAGTCAGGTTAGACGCAAGCGCATAACAATCAGGATCACTTCAGAGAGGAGAGTGCTTGGTCTTACTCCATCGGGATAATCGATTATCATGGGTGTTCCTCATCGTCATTGAGGGCAGACCAAATGGGCTGGGCCAATTTGCACCTGGAGAACGCGATTCTGAACCGAGAACATCTAACAGAGTAAGACTACAGCGAGGAGACAACAGAGTTTGCCCGCGTCATATACATACTTTCGACTTCCTCGAATGCAACATCGTGGGTTCGTTTCTTCGTCGTCTCATGCTGCTCTTTAGCCTGTGTCTGCAACTCACGGAGGCACCTGCCGCATTATGAGCATCGTATGATCCATAGACATCCGATCCTTTGGAAAGGTACCGTTCCGATATCAGAACCCTACGGTTTTCCTCGGAAAACCGACAAGGAACAGCGCGTCTTTGACAATTGGCGCATGGTTCGACCCCAGAGCATTTGATCTTGCTTTGACGACAGGCAATACATCTGGATAAGCGGGGTCAACATCGGCAAGCTAGTTTCCAGATTAATTTCCAGGTTGCTTACGCGTTCGCCGTTCGTTTTAACTTGCGGGGCTCGGCTTGCATCGTGAAGATCACCCGAGACACCAAGGAGCAGACCCTTAGGCAAGCGAGTAGTCCGCCACGATGATTGTATCTCAGGACATTTTGACTCTTTTGGACTTGGATAGGAAGATAGGGATTATGATAAGCTAGGAGGATGAGGGGAAGACGCCGATCACGAGACCGGCTCGGTCTTATCAAAACCCACAGACAATGTCTTTTTTTCTCCAAACTAGTTACCCGTTCGGGAAAAGACGCGTATAATTGCTTATCTTCGTCCATCTTCCTACACCGGATTCTATTGTTGGAGATGTTATCGCACAAATGAAAACTAGATACAAGCATGATACCAGGTCTAGCATTTTTTAGGCCTGGTTTGTGAGGCTACGCTTACCATGGAATATTAATTCACATAATTAGGAGCGAATAATGATCCCCCATGAGTCGTAAATACTGCCTTTGTACGATATTATATCTAAATGGCCTGCGACGGCTATTCAGAGTTCAATTGCCTGCAAGCTCCACAACAGTCGAATGGGAGTTGAGGATAGACATCCGTCCCGACCTGAGGATTGTATTCATGTTGTACCATTAGCGAGTCATGGGTATTCTGAATAGATACCAAAGCGCCTTCGCATAAATACCGACCCCATATTGCCTATCGACGCCAAAGCACAAAAAAACGCCTCCGGGAAAACAAGGATTCCAGCCATATATCCCAACTCCCCAATTCACTACACAAAGTCAAATAATGGCCACTATATAATCATTTATCATGTCTGTGAGCATGCCCGAGATCCAGGCCCCCACAGTTTCGTAGCGTCTCCAATTGTCAGCCCGGAGAACCACTGGCCCAATGTTCTGATAACATCTGCATCCATCTTGCGAAGGTCAAACAAGCGGGTCGGACGCATTATCAACGAGTTGCCGTCAAAATACGCCTCGATCAGCCGAGCATGTTGGGGGCCCATAAACGAGTAAAGCAGGACCTTCGAGGCGGCTTAATTAGTTTCAGGTATTCTGATGGAGGGGAGAGACAGAATTACCGGTGCAGTGAACTGCTCGACAAAGCGGACAGACTTCATTTGTGCGATTATCAAGCGTAGAATGACCATGACCTCTCCTCGAAGGACTTTTGCATTTTTGCCGTTCATATTGTTGCATACGAATGCTCTGACATGGGGTTAGGGGCCCTTGGCAATTTTGGTAGCCCACACAGTTAGCCACTCAGGGTAGCTAAACTGATGCAAGTTCGTGAGAGGCGGCTCATCAATGCTGTTGTCTTGTGTGAGATGCAAGAATGCAATATGAATGGGCAAACGGCAAGAGCTGGTGTTTACCTGAGATCTGATTGCAGCTTCTTGAGCTCATAAGCTTCGTCACGATCGCTAAAATCACTGCATAGGGAGATATAACCAGAAAAACGATGGAACAGCCAACGTGAACAGTATAGCGGGTCTCTGTGATGTTCGGGAAATGAATCAAATTCGATAAATTCTCGCCCTTCTCCCGTCATGCTCTCAACAGGATCGGCCATTATAGAGGCAGCACAAGGCGTGAAAAAAAAAAAAAAAAATAGGCCTAGCATCAGATTGTTCCTCTAACTCTAAAGGCAAGATAATGATATTGTGTGCTTTCCCTTGATGCACATCGAATTCATGAAGTTCGAGGTCCTGGACGTAATCGCAGTATGCGCGTAGAGTTTTACGTAGCTTCCGGCGTTCTGCGGGCTCAAAGACAGACATGATGGATGGTAGGACGGATTCAGAACATTAAATCATTGACAATGTCCCGATAAAAACATAAGTACTAAATTGGGGAGCAGTACAGCCAATCACACGTCCTCTCCCCATATCTATAAATCACGTGCACAACCCCCGGAAGACCTCAGGCGACAGCCTTATCGGAGGTTATCGCAAGCAAGCCGTGACGTACCGACATCACCGGCTTCACTCTTCATCTCACACCTTGTACACCTCTCCACAAGACGCATAGACAATGGCATCATCATCCTTTCTAAAATCTCCTCCACCCCTCGACCTCCCGCCCTCCAACTCAACCTCCAACCCCCTTTACGTGACCATCCGCTTCTCCGCCTCCATCCCCGATCTCCCCCTCGACATCTTCTCCCCGGAAACCACCACCTCCGCGGGCCTAAAACAACTCATCCGCACACGACTCCCCCCTAATCTCTCCTCTCACCGTCTCCGCCTCATCCACGCCGGCCGTGGCCTCGAAGACAAAACCCCTCTCTCCGTATCACTCAAACTCCCTCCCACTCCCACCCGTTCCCCGCGACCACCAACATCCTCCCCGCCCAATGACACCACCTCAGACCCGGCCTCCGATCCCAATCGCAAAGGCAAAGCCCCCGTCCGCGACCATCCCCGTCTCTACATCCACTGCTCCATCGGCGATATCGTTCTCTCAGCGGCCGATCTTGCCGCGGAAGCATCGATCGCATCTACACTCCACGACGATGAAGAACAATCACCATCAGATACTCACCATGAAGACGGTAGTGCCAGAGGACACCGACAGAAAGATGTACAGAGTGGCGGTGATGCTAGTACTACGACGCCCGCGCCGCGGGGTTTCGACCGGTTACTCTCGGCGGGGTTTACACCCGCGGAGGTGGCAGGCCTCCGGTCGCAGTTTCTAGCGGTACAGTCGGTGTCGCATACCCCGGACACAATGCCGTCGGGGGCGGAGTTGCGGGAGTTGGAGGACCGGTGGATGGATGAGGGGTCGACGGCGGCTATGGCGGCTGGGGGCGGGGGCGGGGATGGTGGGGTGGTGTCGTTTGCGGAGGATGATGGGGGGTTTGGGGCTGGGTCGAGGGGCGCGATGGATGATATGCTTTGGGGAGCGGTGATGGGGTTCTTTTGGCCGGTTGGGTGTGCCATGTGGTTGAGGAGGGAGGAGGGGGTTTGGAGTTGGAGGAAGGGGTTGGCGGTTTTTGTTGGGGTCGTGGTTAATATTGCTTTTGGGGCCATGAGGATTATGAATTAGTGTATTTTATGTTTGGTTTTCCTTTTCCATGTATTATACCCTTGGTTTTTGTTTCTTTTTTGTTCTGAGTTTTCTAGACATCATAGGGCTTGGCTTGTCGACGAAACTGTGCGAGGTACTAGAACATGTAACATGGCGCCTGATTAAATCTGATGGGTTGCTATCATACAACATTGCGTGATGTGTCTGCGACTGCAGACTTATAGGTGTCGTTAAGAGAGAAGTAAATAAAAGAGAGGCCACCGGTAAATAACGCCTTCCAAAACCCACGCTCAATGGAACTTGCTGTAGATAACGGCGAAAATCAACAAGATCAAGACTGTGATGATTGCGATTGTGATCAACCGATTCGTAGCCATCCTAGAAGACAGTTAGTATATGGGCATCAAGTGGCTGCGACAAGCAGTGAAGCAAATGTCCTTGAGAACTAGGGGGACAGTACCTACGGGCCATGCCCCTTAGTGTCTTGATACTGGTGTCCACATATCCTTCGCTCTCGAGCAGTCGACCCCGCGCATTCATAATGGTCTCACGCTGTTGGTTCAAGTCGGCCAAGGTGTTGCGACCAATATCCTCGGTTTCAAGGGCGATGCGCTGACTCTCCTGGAGCCGGGCGGAACTGCGCTCCAACCGCTCCGTACCAGACAGGAGCTGTTGTCTTTGTTCCAGATGTTCGTCCTGCGGATCATCTGTGTAGCGGTCGCCGAAGAGCGCCTTGCGGTCATCGGAGAGAGACCTCAACTTGCGCTTTGCCTCATCGATATCGGTAGCGTAGTTGCGAACGCGCGTGTTGATCTTCGATCGTGCTGCTGAGGGGATGTTCTGTTTCTCCATGCGCATCTGATCTAGCTGTATTCCCGCTTGTTAGTGGGGAAATGACGCAGAATGCGCATTTTGACAAGCTAGTCGAACATACCAATTCCGTGGCTTCATCCAGGGCTCTCTCAGCTTGCCTAATTGCTGACTTTCGTTGCTCACCGCTTGACTCGGCGATCTGGTCCAACTTCTGATTCAAATCGGCTTGTACCAGCTTTAGCTCGGTCTCGTAGCTGCTGAAGAGCTCCGAGCCGGCGTCGGTGTCCAACGGGTTCGACATTATGATATTAGATGGGATGTTTGTGTAGGTTGAAGAGTCTTTGACTATGTTGCACAGCCGATCGAGACCGAATTAATCAGTGGATAGGGGTTGCGGATCCAAGTAAGTGGAGAGAGTAGTACGGAGTAGCCACCTTATCTTCCGTGGTGGCTGGCGGCGCCCGTGCTGCTCCGGGAAAGAGATTGGGACAATCAACGGAGTGAATGACACGGTCTATGAGAGAATGAACCAGAATCAGCTCGAAAAACAAAACCAGTATATCTGAAGGACAGACGGAGATGCAGCTGGATGGAAAGCAGATAGGATAGGCAGATGCATGGAGAGAGACAACTGGCTGGCCTGCGGCGATGACAGGAACGGCGACGGGCACACGTGATCGGCGGCCGAGGCAGAGGGATCCGGCTGACGTCGTCGGGCTCAACGGCCGTTAAACCAGAACTAACTTATTAGTCTAATTGTTGCATCGCATCTGGCGCCAAGTTCGACCAACAGATCCCATTGTATGGATTCCATTCATCGTGCCGTTGAATGCCCCTCCCCCAATCCAGGGTCCCAGCGCTCACCCTCGCTTGTGGGAGGCTAACATTATGGTTGGCTTGTTCCTTTCCATTCCTTCGAGGAGAATGGTCCCCTGACTCGTGGTCAATTAACTTCTCTAGGATTCGCCCCCTCATTATTTCCGTCTCAGATCGGTGGAGCTTCCTCCTCGACTCATATAATGGCCCTATTTCCTTAGGCCCCCCTAACTAGTGACAAGTCACATATTTACCCCAGTTTACGGTCGGGCTCTCTTTTTGGTAGATCTGCCTTAATCTCAAGGAACATTCATTCCATGCATACTTCGACTGAGTCGCCCTAGCTGTGTCTGTCATCTGATGCGATCACATTTGGCCGCCACATGAGGACAAGAGCGCGTAGCAGGTTGGGATCTGAGCGCACATGGTTGTCTTGATAAACCTGTCGTCACCCTGTCTTCGATCTTTCTGTGAGACTGTTCTGCTACCTTACCACTCCAATGTTCCCTATCCCAGTATCTCCGGATAGGGCAAGGAGTACTATACGATCTTTCCAAGCTGTCTACTAGACACTGAGCCTGGTCTTGAATCAGCATCCCAGCGCGCCAAGTTCGTGCCGATATATTCTTTTCATACTCTCCGGTTGGCCTGCTCTATGGCAAGGTTAGCCGCTGACAGCTGTTGTTTTCATGCCGCCCTTTCAGCCTGAGCGGGTTGCTGTTATAGGGGGCGGTTGCACGGGTATCACGACCTTCTGGGCGTTGCAAAATTCCGCCCATGATGTTCATCTATTTGAAGCCTCAGACTCTCTTGGTGGGCGCGTAAATGCCCTGCCCTTTGAGCATAATGGTCACCGAGTCGATGTGAATACAAGTTCTCCCAATTTTAATGCCAGGGCTTCTCGTTAGTGGCAACTTCCCAGCCCGTATCTTTCTTGACTAATGCACATCTTCAGCAAACCTCGTTTCGTTGTTAGACTACCTTGGGATAACCACTGCCAAGGCTCCGTTCTCCTTTGGGGCTACGGATGGGATTGACAGTTTCCAATGGTGTGGTAGCATACTGAAAAGCATTCTTCTTCGTCCATGGACACTTTGCAACTTAGAGACCTATCGCATACTGTGCGATGCTATTTGGCTGAAATACATGGCCGTGGATGTACTCGATCCCGGCTTTGAGGCTTGTAAACCCACGGATCCCCAGTCGTTATCCTCGCATGAGTACCTCGCAGGCGAAGAGTACTCCAATACCTTTATCGAGAACTACCTAGCCCCACTGCTGTCCATTCTGTGGAGCACGAATGCGGGCAAGTTCCTGCCACGGGTTCCTGCGAAAGCCCTCGTCCAGGCCCTTTATCATCACCAACTGCTGAAGCCCCGTCAAGCCTTGCCAAACTGGCGTCGTATCGGACCAGGGATGAGCCAGTTCATCCAGACCATGACCAAAAGCTTTCCCTCCTCGAAGGTTCATCTCAAGACTAGAGTAACAGAGATTGTTCAGTATGGAAAGAAGTTCGGTATCATGACATCTG